TCCAGCTCACCATGCAGGCATATGAAAAAATCTGGGCATCCCCTGGGCAATGTCCTTGCAGACGGCCAATTCTCTCACACCAGAAGCAACTTCCAGTTTCTCAAGTCACTCCTGGCACACACAAAAACCAAAAAAGGGTAATCTGGGATCAGATCCTGGGATAAAGGGGTGGTGTGGAAGGGCCCTGAGGCCCCATCTCTACTACCATATAAAATCCAGATTATCTGCTTTGAACTGGATTATCTGAGTCCACTGTCCACAGTTCAAAGCAGATAATCTGGATTTAATACTACTGTGTGAACAGGGCCTAAAGGCCCTTTCAGACAGGTCCTATATCCCAGGATCTGATCCCAGTTTTCTGTTTATCCCAGATTATCTGGCAGTGCCAACTCATATAATCCAGTTTAAAGCAGAAAACCTGGGATCCAATCCTAGGATATAGGGCCTATAAAATAAATAGAAGAGGTAGTTGGGTTGACAAAAGAAAGCAACTGGCAGTGGGAATTGGGGCTCAAATTGTTGAAGACGTTGCCTACAGAACTGGGCTCAGAAACTGACACCAGACACAAACACAGAGCATTCCGTCACTTTATTAAGATATACAAGTTGTTTTAGCATTAAAAAGCCCTTAAATTATTTTCTATTTATTGAACAGAAAGGCATTATTGAAGAGGGAATGGGGATATACATATTTTATATATATATATATAAAAATAAAAAGGCACTGCAAAATACCTTACTGCAACATATAAAACAGCAGAAATACTTTTATAAGCACATAGAAAGAGCAGAGCTATAAAAAATTACACATCCATGTCCAAAGAACCATTAGCGATTTCCTGTTTTTCTCTCTGACCACAAAATACGCTTCCACTGCCTGCTTCGGCACACTGGAAATTAAGTTTGGCTTCCCACAGATCCCAGTAGCATTTGCAAAGACAAATAGAAAAGAGTCCAACGTTATAAGATTGTTCGCCACTGATTGGAGAAAACGGTGATATGGTTTGCAAGCAACTACCAAATGAGGATCCAAAATCGCAACCTGAAGCTGGGATACAAATATAATTTTGGCAAAGCCGGGTTTGTGTCCAAAATATGAACCAACAAATGGTAGTTTAGAAAATTGGGCCGCCTGAAAATAATGCTGTTCCAGATATTACCTAGGGAATCTGAGGAAAGGAGAAAGCCACACAAACCATGGTTTGTGATGATGTCCCAAAGAGACAAACCATGATTTGTACCAACCATGGCTTGAAGTTACCTTGAATTAACTCTTTTTTCAATGGTAATGAATTTACTCAAAAGCCCTTTGCATCCCCAAATCATGACAAGAAGTGTTTAAGGAAACCTGAAGCATACAGTATCCCATCTAGTGTCTCATTTAAACCAAGTTCATGGAAGGTTTAACAGACTTACCAGGCAGACGTGTTTGGAAAGATTGGAGTTGTGCATACTGAATAAATGTGGCTGCCCAGGAATTTTTCTTAAACTTTGCATATAACTCAAAGTTGCATTCACTCATTTAAACAGAAATACGTCCTTTATTCTACAGGTACACAAAGGGCCTTTCCACACAGCCATATAACCCAGAATATCAAGGCAGAAAATCCCACAATACCTACTTTGAGCTGGGTTATCTGAGTCCACACTGCCATATAATCTGGTTCAAAGCAGATGTGGGATTTTATTCAGCAGTGTGGAAGGGGCCAACAACTCTATGCCAAATGTGTTCTACCACTTCCCCCATGGAAGTGCAGAGTTAAAACGTATGTAGTTATTGAGAATGGACAAGCTATTTTAATTTAAATTCTCTAAAGAACAGAATTATTGGATCTGAGAATGAAAAATAACTGCTCTTGTTTTCCTGAAGCGACACAGATGTTTAAAACAACTTGTAAATGGCCTTGTTGCCTGATATTCCCAACCTTAAAGGGCGTGATAATGTGAAAACCAAAGAGACTGGGCAAATAGTCATTTTGTCAAAGGTTTGCGCTGCTCTGGGATCAAATCTGCTTTGGCATCTTTATTTGAGGCCCCTTCTACACTGCTGTATAAAATTCAGGTTATCTGCCTTGAACTGGATTACAGGGCAGTGTAGACGCAGATGAACCAGTTCAGAGCATATAACGTGGATTATTTATCTTGATCGTCTGGATTATATGACATAATAGAAAGGTTCCTGGATCTATTTTTGTGTGTTGATATGCCCTCAGTCCTTGCCACCCAAGGCTAGCAATGTCTGCCATTGTGTTAAATAGTAGGGACTGTTCCTATTGCCACAAAATGTCTTTCGGAGATGTTCATGAAACGATTACACCAAATATTACATTCACAACTCCCCATAACTGTTCTTACATTTCAGTGCTAAAGATGCACTTTTCCACCTTCATTAAGCACCAACAGTTTCTCTTATCTTCCATGCCTGTTTTTGCTACTTCCAAGTGCAGTCTCTTCTGTCTTAAACAGCAAATAACTCATGCCTTTCTTCTCACTGAGGGCAGATCCAGACAGGCCTTCATCGCAGGAGAAATGCGTTTTCTGGGGTGGGTGTCCAGATCCCCCCCCCCCGCCACCGCCACACTCTCCTGGCATGTCATTTTTATGCACTGGGAGAGCTGGCCGAAGCCTGTAATGGAGGACAGGTAAGTTTTCATTATTTTTCTAAGGGGTCTGAGGGGTTTTGGGGAGGGGGGTCGGTATTCCCACAGTTTACCGGACGCGGAATAAACCCACTATCTAATTAAACCCATTATCTAATAAACTTGCTACAAACCAGGGTTTTTCTGGTTTGTAGCGAATTAATTCGGGACAGTCCAGAACGTTGTCTGGACAGCCTCTCCTTTACTGTGGTAATAAGTGCAATAAAGGTACTGTCTGGAGAAGCCCTGGCTCTACTGTTTATAGACATGACTGTCCTTATTTTCAAGGAATACAATTCAGCACACACAAAAGGAAAGGATTAACGGAACCCTCAAGGAAATTTTCCCCGCAACTTTTCATTTCACAAAAGAGTGATGGAAACAATGCCCTCCATCCCCTTCCCAACCCCAGCCATTCCATCTCCCTGTTATAAATATTCATTTCCAAAACCAGTGCGAAGAAAGGGTAATTTTTGGAAAGGAAAAAACCCAGACTGTTCAGGCTTGAATTTTAAGCTTGTATACTCAGATGGGTGGCTTGGCTCTTCGGCAGAGAGCACTGTTTTGATGGAAACCTTGTCCCGAATCCAAACTCTCACGGATGCCAAAGAACCGTGAGTGAAAGGAAAAATAGCCATTGCTGTTGCTTCTATAAATGCTTAAGCAGTCTCCCGGCGCTAATAGTTGGGTGCCATCGGCAGTAATTCTCTTGTTTTTCCTTGTGCGAAGAGTTGCCCTTAGAGATCATGGATAGAGTCACTTCTCTCGCACAATGTTCTTTTGCAAGTTGTGAGTAGAAAGGCACCATTGGACTGAAGCCATTGGATCTCAGGCTGGAGAAAGCCAAAGAGGGAGCTACTGCTGGGTCAGCAACCTTAGAAACTAGTAAGGTAGTCCAATAAATAAAGCAGTTTCATACATTAGCTCCAGCTTTTTGTGGACTGCAGCTAGTTTTGGTAACAGTTCCTCCTTTCCATTTGTGAAAAATAGCCGTTTACCAAATCACAGCTAACAGAACTACGGCAGGCAAGATGTGTACTTCTTGTGTCCCTGTTGTTAAAGGCCATGCAGATTTTACACAGACTTAACAGCAAGCAATCTTTGAACAAAGAAAATAAATATATAAACATCTGTTACTTAAAAACATCCCATTTTTTAAAAAAATAGTTCCCTTAAATGTACAAAAAGCACTCTGAAAAAAATGGTTCATTTCGCTATTGGCAAAATCATTAGTAAACCTACGTCTAAAATAGTACAGAAAAGCAATCGAACAATCCTATTGCTAGCATTCATGTCTTCTATGATATATAAAGCATCACTTTTTTATTTGCAACTCTTCTGAGTCTGGCAACATATAAAGTAAGTGCTGGCTATTATATTTCTGATATTGTGAGTCTTGCCCTACTGACTTCAGTCAATAGGAATCAAATGGTAGTTTGTTTTGTTTTTTTCTGAATGGGTGAAGAGCCCCCATACCATGTCTTTTCACTTACAACTCCCTGCCTCTTCCCCGTGCCTCACATTTCTGAAGTATTCTTGACAGTGGAACCAAAACCAAAGGCATTTTTATCCTGAATCGATACCTTTGGAAGAATGTACTACCTCCTATATCTTGACAGAAATGTACTCTCTCCCATGAAAACAAAGGAAGATCCAGATATATATTGGATGCATACATGTCACTTCTATTTACAGCCGTAAATACATGGAAAATAGACCAGAATGGCCCAGATTGTGTAAAGAGTGACCGGCTAGAGAGGGTCTAATTTGGACTCATGGAACATGATTCCCCCTCCATTACTTTGCATTGCTCTTTCTATCAGCAGATACATGATCTTGGGAATAACACAATATATCTAGTTTGTTGACCATGGTTGGGAGTTGCATGTGCAGCAGACTGCTAAGACTATGTTTGGCACAAGAGAGTAAAAGTAAAAGAGAATTCTGGTTTACCAGGAATAAGCTTCATGCTTTTGCATGCTACCCATTTATGTCTTCTTAAGAACCCCTACCACTGGGAGCAGCTACACACCTGTTAATGTCTTCTCCAAAATTGAGGTTCCTAGTGTGTTGCTCACAAACAAGTCAAGAAGTATAAACCAAAGCCAAACTCTTGTTTTCAGTTCTGGTTCGCCAGAGATACAACAATCCAGGGAGCAATGAACTAAGTTGTTTAGTATTTCATTCCTGATTAGTTTACCTGCTCTTTCAGGCAAGAGTCATCAATTTGAAGCAAGAAAGTTGGATTCTCCAGAATTCTGCTTTACCATTGCATGTAAACACGGCCATAAGCATGTTGTGCTCAACTGAAAAGAGCAATGTTTCTAAGCAGCATAATGAAAATCAACTGATTGTTTCACATTAGATCTATACAACTTGGTTTAATTCTATTCCTTAACATGGACTGAATCACTGTCAAGCATTGCAAGCAGAATTTTGCTTACTTGGGCAGCTTCCCTTCATTCTGTCTTCAAAAGCCCACTTCCAGAACCATCAATTCGTTTCATCTTGACTAGGGTCCGTCTACGCTGCCATATCATCCAGATTATCAAAGTAGATAATCCACATTATGTTTGAACTGGATTACATGAGTCTACACTGCCATATAATCCAGTTCAAAGCAGATAATCTGGATTTTATATAGCCGTGTAGATGAGGCCTACATTTGTGATCCTGCAAATCCAAACAAATTAATTTTTCCATTTGATAACCCCAGTGGAGCCAAGCTCCTGATTTGGGAACTCTTGGCCTTTCTATAGTAAAGGTCTTTGGTCCCAAGAAATTGTTGTTAAGTTTTCTTTTTAAGCAATTATTTTTAAATGACTGTAAAAAAAAATCAGCCTCCAAAAGGAATGAGTTCATATGTACATTCTTTCTCAACACATTAAACTAGACCTGGGGAATGGTGTGTCTACCTTAGAAAGTAGACACTGCCAAAAGTATCTTCTTCTTGGTTTCCATTATAAATGCAGTTATTAGCCAAGACATAAACACTTGGCTTTAAAAATGGTCCCGTCAAAGTGCCTTGGGAATTCCCCACCACCAGCAAAAAGAAAGCTACCATTTGCCTTTTCATCCTCCTTGTATATGGATCAAAACCATGGCACCATGATCATTGTGCTGGGTTTCTAGTTACATTGGCAGGATGAAATTAATGTTTCCCATGGCTGTGACCTGCCTGTCACAAGATACCTCATGTCTTTGCAAACTCAGTTCCAAACAGTAGATGGTCTTCTTTGACCTAAGTGTCTTCTCCAAGGAAATGCCTGGTAACAACATCCTACATGCTACAAAAAGCCCTTCCCTGACACATTAAAAAAAAGCACTGACTGTTCTTTAATGGCAAACACATAACTGAAGGGTCTTCCTATTCAGGTTTCATTTAAGTGCAGGCTAAATCCTTGCCTGAAAAGTACCAAAATCAGTTTTAGCAACTTCACACTGAATATCTCCCTTGGCTGCTTCTTGGACAGGGAAAATACTTGGATTGTGTAGATGCAATACTCGATGGCAGGGGGAAATTAAGAACCCTGGTGCCACTTAATGGATGCCCTCAGGTAAAGGCAGGGAAGTCTTACAAGGCATCTTCCTCCAGTGTGGTTCTTAGCCTTACACTGATGTTAGTGGGGGGAAAGTTCTCAGTAGGCAAGCTATTATATTAAAGGTTCTCTGTGTAGACAATGCATGGGCTGTTCTCTTCGCAGAGCTGCAGTTGAACACTTGAGGCAAACCATCTTTTGGCAGATCCCAATCTGTAGTTGAGTGTGGTCCGGTAAATGTTCTTGGCGTGTTTGGGGAAGATGATTGTTGTGCTCTGAAACCTCAGCGGCTTCTGGCGGGGCTCGAAGATCAGCTGAGACTTGTAATTTCGCCATGTGCAGTTGGGGGCAGCAATGACAGTCTCCCTGTAGGTGGTGACCGTGGGCATTGGGCAGTAGAAGACATCATCCCTGTAATGCCTTTCCGAGCCATATTTTACTTCGGAGTTGCACCTGCAAAGGGGAAGGGGAAGAAAGATAGCAAGAATGCTTAAAACGATAGAATGAATCTTGCCGTATCAAAACAAAGCCTTGTATATTCAAATCTCCAGCTTCGACAACAGAAAGCAATCACATGTCTCACAAATATCTGTTTCTGATACTGCAAGACACATCTGGAGGCTGCATATAGTCATTATACCTAGTAGCCCCCAACAAACCTATCTTCCATTAATCTGTCTAATCTGCTTAAAAAAAATTAAACCTATGGCCATTATCAACCTTTTTGCAGCATATTACACCAACAGAATGTCTTTTTTTGGGGGGGGGGGTGCTAATCTGGATCTCCTAATCAATTTTATGCTATGCTCCTGGATTCTAGTATTATATGCGAGAGGGAGGGAGGGAGATCACATCAACTTCTCTTCATCCACTTCCTTCATGGCATGCTTAATTTCAAACCCTACTTCATGTTATTTTTAAGCCCATGCGAAGGGACAATTCAAGAGAATTCAACAAGGAAAGATGTCAGATTCAACATATAAATTGTACTAGCTGTACTAACAACACCCAGATGGAAATAGAAACTCATTCCCAAGTTTTTGGAAAATTCTAAGCCCCAAGACTATGAGGTTTGCAGGAGAAAAGAAACACAACAGTCTTGGGACTTAAAATTTTCCAGTTCTCTCTGTCCTATCCAAGATGTTAAGGGCAGGTGCACCCAATGGAGGAGTAAACAGACAGAAAAATGTCATTTTGTCAATTTTAGATTGGGGAACTGCCAACATCATTGCAGCAGAGACTGCTAACTGTTCTTTCATTTCTCTTGTTCCGCTCCCTATGACCACAACAACAACAACAACAACAACAACAACAAAAACAACATATTATTATTATTATTATTATTATTATTATTATTATTATTATTAACAACAACAACAACAACAACAACAACTTTATTTATATTCCGCTCTATCACCCCAGAGGGACTCAGGGTGGATTCCAAACATAAAAGGCAAACATTTAATGCCCAAATACAACAACAATACATCCACACTAACAAAATTTAATAACCCAACATATACAAGGAAATTAAAAATGCAGTCTCTTATAACAGACATAAGACAAAACATTAAACTTCAAACAGAAGCCACAATTTCCCAGTTCCTTGGGGCAAATAGATTGATCATTGCTCAAGATATCTATTGAGCTGGTGGGGCGAGCAGGGCATGGACACGGATGGTAGATATTAATCAGAGGTATAATGGTAGGATTACCAACTGCTCCTCCTCTTCCTCATAAGCCAGTGAACAAAAGTATGTCTTCCGCTGTTTCTTGAAAACGGGGAGGGAGGGGGCCATCTTTAACTCCTTAGGAAGGGAGTTCCAGAGGTGGGGGGGCAGCCACGGAGAAGGCTCTTTTTCTCATTCCCACAGGTTGGGACTGAGAGGAGGGACTCCTCCAATGACCGCAGTGTTCAAGTTGGTCTATAGTGGGAGATGCGATTTGTCACACAGTCTGGACCCGAGCCATTTAGGGCTTTAAAGGTAAGAACCAGCACTTTCTATTTAGTTCGGAAGCAGACCAGCAGCCAGTGGAGCTGCTGCAGCATGGGAGTGGTTCTCTCCCTGAACATGTGTCCTAAAATAAAAACTAAAGTTGGTACTGACTTTGCAAATCAGTATCTAGAGATAGTGTGGTGAGTTGATGCTAACCCCTCTTGGATAAACAGCTTTTGAAAAGCAGACAAGCCTCCAAAGAAGCTGGAGGGAACAGGCACAGCATCCTTGGTTGCCAGGAAGCCCCAAGGGTTTTGCATGGTTTGCTGCTTCCCGATCTTTGAGGCGCAACCAGCAGCAGCTGAGGAATTTGCAGCTCTGTGTATGAAAAAGATTAAACGCCGGGTGTGGCATACAGCCTTTGCCAACACCCTGGAGGAAGCTTGGCCCACGGAGCGGCACACGTAACACAATCTGCTTAATAAGTTTTGCACAGTTTGGCTGGAAGGCCTTGAGCAGCAACTGGAAAAATAGCACTGCCAGTGGTGGCCAACTTCAGGCTATGCTTTGAAAATAATGTGTATGCCGTTGAGCTGGAAGTAGGCAGGATGCTGCATCAACACTTTAGTACTGGACACTGGGAATCACCTGCATATGGCTGGGCTCTGAAACTAGAAGTGAGTGGAATCTCCCATTAAGAAATGCTTTTAGTTGTCTTGTCTTGTTTTTATAATGACTTTTAAAAATGCTTTTATCTTTAGATTGTTTTAATTGATTTTTTAATCCATATTTTGAATAGATTTTTACTCCTCCATTGCCTCAAGGGTCCTTGTGGATTTTGAGGCAATACAACAATACAGGCAGTCCCCAAGTGACGAACAAGATAGATTCTGTATGTTTGGTCCTAAGTTGAATTTGTAGGTAAGTTGGAGCAGGTACATTTATTAAGTGTAACCCCAGCCAAATGTCTCTGTGTTTGTGTGTGTGTGTGTGTGTGTGTATATTTATATAAATAAAAATGTAACGTTTGTTTGTGGGATTAACATAACTCAAAAACCACTGGACGAATTGACACCAAATTTGGACGCAAGACACCTCTCAGGTAATCAAGTGACCATCACTCATAAAAACACTGGAAAATACAGCAGAAGAGAGTTAAAAAGCCAAAAAACAAAAATTACATTACAATGCATGTGCAAAACCACATATATACGCAAACACACCCATATATGTACACAAAACACATATACACAGACTGGGCCACAGCAATGTGTGGCAGGGGACGGCTAGTGTATGTATGTATGTGTGTGTGTATATATTTATGTGTGAGTGTATATATATATATATATATAGAGAGAGAGAGAGAGAGAGAGAGAGAGAGAGAGCGCTTTGGATAGCATAGGAAAGGATGAACACCCCTGCGGCATTTGTTTTGCTGTTCAGAAGATTTCGCCTCACTTTCTGCCCCTGTAATTTTGAAAAATCTGGTTAGCTGTGGAAACAAGGATTGGGGATAAAGCTTTAGTGAAGACCCCTTTTTCCCATGATAATTGCTCTTCCAAGAGTGAATTTCCCTTCCAGGAGGGAGTTTTCTCTCACTTCCCATTGTCTCAGCCCTATTCTTAACTATGGGCATCATCACACTAGAGAAAAAATCCACTTAAAATCTGGTTTCTGCCTCCTGCAAAATTTTGGGGTTCATAGTTTTGGGAGGAGGCTTTAACAGCTTCACTAAACTACTAACCCCAGAATTCTGCAGGAGGCAGAAACCAGATTTTAAGTGGATTTTTTCTCTAGTGTGATGAAGTGGTATGAGTTGTTTGTAAGTTGCATGTTTGTAATGTGGGGACTGACTATACTTCAAAGAATACATAAATCCAGGAAGAGTCAGGAGTGGGCAACTGAACTGCAGAGGCTTTGAATCCAGGTTGTCAAGGCAAACGAGTGAACTTTTAACAATAGAGGTTTCCAATGATTTTTTCCAGCCCTTGGGCATTGAGCTGAGACCACCAACTCATTTGAGTTCAGGCCGCTCTCCAGCTGTTTGCAATTTTCTGCCTCAAACTGGAGATGAACTTGACATGAGATCTAAGAGGCAACCCTTCATCTTCCCCCCTTCCTCTATTATACCCCCCCTTCACTCTTGTTAATTTTAGCCATTCCTGTCTACTTTGCTCCCCACCCAACATTATCATCCACCTAAAGCAATGATCAACCCATTCATAAACACCATAATCTTTTGCAGCAGAGAGAGGATGGGGAGGGGACCCCCACCACCACCAAACAAAAAACCCAACCCCACACATTCAGTTACCTAATTTCTTGCACTGGTTCTGGGTTGACCTCTATGCTTTCACCAAAAAACACAGGGTACATCCGTGGCCTTATATCTGATGTTGAGGCATTCAAAAGAACGAACGGGATCTATAAAAGCAGGGAAAACACAAAGAACAAAATAAAATTCATTTGGAATTAGAAAGCTATCGAGATATTTACAGTACAATCTGCATCCATTGTGAAGCACAAGTTAAGCAAACCATTTGTGGCAAACAGTTTTCTCAGCCACCTTGGTCCCTATGAAGACACTTCATTTATACAAAAGGTAGAAGGCATTTCACACATCTCAGTACCAAAAATCCTATATCAGGTCAGAAGCCAACAGAGACACCTCCACGCTGTAACAGGACATTCACCATTATAGCACAAGCCCAATGCTAAGAATGCTACTTTTTTGGCGATTTCCAGGATCACTTGATGGCATGACCAGTGGTCATGCTGGCTGAAGGATTCTAGGCAATATAGTTCAAAAAAGTTACTTTTTTGCAAAAGCGAAGCAAGAATAAATGTGTACATAAGCAAGAATTAATTCACACAATGGTTTAAAAGTAATGATGTTGGCATGAGAAGAATCTTTAAGCATGTTAGGCCCTGGAGTATTCATTAAAAGGGTATGTGTGATTCTGAAAAGCTTGGGTGTGATCCTGGACTCACTGTTGAGCCTGGAACCCCAGGTTTCAGTGGTGACCAGGGGAGCATTTGCACAATTAAAACTTGTGTGCCAGCTGCACCCGTACCTTGGGAAGTCTGACTTGGCTATGGTAGTCCATGCTCTGGATACATCCCGTATAGACTACTTCAATGCTCTCTATGTGGGGTTGCCTTTGAAACTGTCCGGAAGCTCCAAATGGTCCAACAAGCGGCAGACAGGTTGCTAACAGGAGCAACGCTCAAGGAGCGCACGACTTCTCTGTTACGCCAGCTCCACTGGCTGCCAGTGTGCTACCGGCCACAATTCAAAGTGCTGGCTTTAGCCTATAAAGCCCTAAACGTTTCCGGTCCGGCTTACCTATCCAAACGTATCTCTCCTTATGAACCATCTAGGACCTTAAGATCGTCTGGGGAGGCCCTGATCTTGATCCCGCCTTCCTTGCAGATGCATTTGGCAGGGACGAAAGACAGGGCCTTCTCAGTGGTGGCCCCTTGGCTATGGAATGCCCTTTCCAGGGATATAATAATATAATAATAATAAACCATCTCCCCAAGGGACTCGGTGCGGCTTACCTGAGGCTGAGCCTGCAATACAACAATACAAGCAATAACAATAACAATACATGCAATTAAAATAAATCACATAGACAATAACATAAGCACTTACAATAGTACAGAACACTTTAAAATCTATGGCTGGGCCAAATGTAATTAAAAATTTAAAATGATGCTGGTCATGGACGAGATAAGGAAGTGGGCGTAGTGGAGACATACGAACATACGAAGATCAGCTCCCTCCCTTCTGACATTCCGCAAAAAGGTTAAGACCTGGCTCTTGGAGCAAGCTTTTACTACTGGAGCATAATTAGACGAAATTAGACGAAAATGGATATATGGAACGACCGACGATGCAATTGGACAATGATTTTAGTAAGGAGATGCCAGGATTTTGTTTTTACAGGCTTTATTGTTTTTTATATCATATTTAAATGTTTTAATAACTGTTTTAACTGTAACTTTATAATTGCTATGGCATTGGATCACTGCCAATTGTGAACCGCCTTGAGTCGTCTCTGGCTGAGAAAGGCGTTATACACATGCGACAAATAAATAAACATGTGTCCCTTGGAGGCCATGGACTCCACACACCCTCCTCACTCCAACAACTACAAAGATTTCTAGATGTAAAAACCCTATTGTTTTTATTTGTCATTAAGGCTTCATTTACACCGACCATATAATGCAATTTGACGCTAGCTTTCAAACTGTGGCAGTTACATAATGCGTGTTGCCAAAGCAGACTGCAGCATATGTTAAGGAGCAAAGTTGCAGCAAAGTCCGAGGTAATCCCCTTAATGCGCTGCAGTGCAGCCACAATCTAAATCCCATCGCATGGTGAAATTGGCTCCACAGAACATGAGTACATTGCTATACCCGGAAATAGGGTGCTGCCGAAAATCTCCCCATGGGCATGGCTGGGCAGCAGGGACTAAATGACTCCCTGGACAGGGAATCAATTGCCTCCACTGCTAACAGTCACTTTCCCTTCTTTCTTCCACCTTGTATGCTTCCTCAGCACTTACTCAGAAATAGGGGGGAAAGACTGCATTCTCTGGCAGCTGTCACACTCTGAATACTGAAGAACCGGTTGGAGGGCACCTTCTGTGGTTAATGCAATCACCATCCTGGCCTTGATCCTTTTCCAGTAATGGCAATTTAATAATACATACAATGAAACCAGTTTTTGCCAAATTGTTTCTGAACTGACTTCAGTGTTCAGAAGAACCCTGCATCAGCTTTAATTTATGGGGACCTCTTTGCCTTCCACTGTCCTGCTCAGGGTTTGCAAACTCAGGTTGGATTGAACTGGATTACATGAGTCTACACTGTGCCATATAATCAAAAGAAGATAATCTGGAATCAGATACTGGATTACACGGCAGCCTCAGGGCAGCCATGGCTTCCTTGGTTGAATCTCTCCACCTGGAATGCAGTCTCCCTCTTTTTCGATTGCTTCCAATTTATCATCTTGTTTAATGGGCTGTGTCACCTCACCCATTGTAGACAGCCCCAGTTTAGTCATTGTGGCATCTAGTGAGAACTGAGGCTTCCTTTGCTCTCAGATGGATAGATTTGTCTTTTTGGCAATCCATGTAGACTTGTTTCTTCACTGTCCACAAGAACAGACTGCCCTAGTATTGTGAAGCCTTACAAACACACTGCTTCTGAAAATATTCTATCTTTTCTTAAAAAAAAAAAAGGATCCAGTAGGAAGTTTGGGCATGAGCGGGCCGACCTTCAAACACAATTTAGAAAAAGAATTGTACATCAGTAACAAGAACATATGCCTTGCATGCAGAAAGTGCTAGCTTAAATCCCTGGCATGTCCAAGGAGGACTTGGAAAAACTGGGAGCCCTGAAGAATGGCTGCAAATCAGTACAACAGATAATAGTAGCTACAGATTAGCTGAAAGTCTGGAGATGTTACTCTTTTGAACAACAAATCCCCAAATCCTGCAGTCAGAATGGCCACCTTCTGGCATTCATAGATACACAGCCTCTGAACATGAGGTTTCTTGTGTCTAAAAAAACCAGCTTCCGTTTCTTAGACCATGACAGACAGCAGAACCCTATTTTGCTAGTGATAAGGAGAAATAAAGGAAGCTTATGTCTCAAGGTCTGACTTGAAGTATCTGTCTCTTCTGGATATCCCTCACTCCACAGAGTTGCAGCTGCTTAGTCTGCCCAAATGGAACACTCAGATCACCAACATTGGTTCTTTTAAAAAAAATCAATAAGAACTGCAAGGAGGCAATGCTTATACCATAAGCCCAAGGGTTAGAACCCTAACCCTAGCCCTAGCCTGACTTAACTGTAAGCTTCCTCCTGCTGAGCTCCATAAATAAGCCCTTCCCTGCTCCACAGATGTTTCTGAGTTTCCTCTGCCTCAATGAAAACCATATGGGCATGGTCCACCACTGCCCGGAAAAGTGATTTTGAAAACTTGGTTGAGATGTATTGTTGACTTTAACAATGTTCATTTTGAACATATACTCTTGCTTTCTGGACCTTTCAAGAATAAATAAAGAGCAAAAACATCAAACTGGAATCTGTTAATGGAGGCTTTCTGCAAAAGCATTTTTGAAAGACATCAGGTTGTGTAACCTAGATGTTAGAGGACTCCCACTCCCACTGGAATGGCCAACGCTGAAGGATTTTGGGAACTGTGGTCTAATAACAACATCTGGAGGACCACGGGTTCCCCATCCCAAGAAGAGAGGAGCAAGGGTACACAGGATATGCACTGGTGTGTAAGAATGTCAAGAAAAGTTCCGCTGAAAAAAGTTCTGGCTGTAGGCCAACATCAGGTTTCCAGCAAAGGTCAGCTTTCTGCCTCATGGGAACTCAAAGCACGATATGAGAATCTGGATCTTCTGCTGTTGCCTGTCCTCAGCATTTGTGAAGAAGAAGTGATTTTAAATAAGAGAAATAAGCATCTTTTAATTTCATCCTAAAATTAGCTTTGTATCTTATCCTTCCATTCCAGAAGGTCTTGGTGACATCATTACACTTCTCTTGTCCTATTTCATCTTCACAACAATGCTGCAAAGAGGTTAGGCTGAGAATCAAACTAGACAAGGCATTTAGCATGTTGCTGGATGAGCAATTCCCTCAAATAGTGAGAGATATCTGTTTGTCATAGCAGAGGACGGAGTTCACCTTTGTGTTTTAAACAATATGCTTTGTTCTGTAGTTGGTTATTGGAAAATGGGGTTAATTTGCAAGTCTTAATGCTGAAGCAATTGTTTGGGGCACTGATTCTGAAAATTGTATTGGATAAGCTGCACCAGCTCTAGTTTCTTAGATATGGCTATCATGGTTTTGTATGAATGATGACTGGTATACAGTATATGTTCTGTATCTCGCAACCTAGATCTCAAAGGGCAAAACTGGTGCCATTTTTTGAATCAGCAGGTCAAAGATACCCCAAAACAGGGCTAACATTTGAGTAACCAAAATGTGTGCTGGCCAGTGTCCTTGATCCAGCAAATTTATTGGGTGTAAAATAAAGTAGACCCAATGCAAAGATGTATAAAGTAAAGAAAATCACATTTTATGACAAAGAGATATCTTTCACTACTCAGGCAAACACCGGCTTGGAATTCTACTGTCTAGTTACAACTATAATCGACCCATCAAACAAATTCAATTGGTTCTGTGGCTCGAATTGGGAATAACAATAGGATTTATGCCGTGATCTAGTTTGACACTGAACTTCAGTACTGAGACCACTCCATGTGTTCCAGCATGTCAACCCATTTTCCTCTCATAATAGGATTTCATCAGATATGGATGCTTATCCAACCTTCACTCATCCAACGTTTTTTATTATCCAATACAGTCTGGTTTCAATACTGGCTGAGAAAATGTGGTAT